TTACGTGTCTACGTCCTGGCATATGAACTGTAATGAATTCTCAAAATCTGTACACCTGTTTTCAACAACGGCCACTCGTCTGAAATTTCTTTTGTCCTTTAAAATGGACGACGTGGTGGCAGTAATACCAGAAACTTCTTTCTCCAATTCACATAGACATGACTTCATTAGGGACTTCATATTGGCAAGAGAAAGATTACTCATAGTTTGATGTTCATCCCCTGTTACAGGTGTATCAGGCAGAATGTCATTGTCACTATGAACATCTTGAAAATAGCATGACGTTGTTTCGTTGTTTGTAGCAGATTTGCCCTTCTTTTTATCAAGACGCGGACGATCCCCCATTTCTGCGTACTGTTAGGTAAAGCACTAAGCATGGTAACAAGCTATAAAGTTAGTTCTTTGAAAATATTGTAGAACAGAGAGTTCGCAGCGACGAGCTAACGTGGCACACCTGTTGCGAGCATGCGCACCAAACTTTACCACCAAAATTGTTCATATATAATTTTTAACATAGCCATGAAGTCAAATATGCCACAAGTTTACATTTGCTATGTATCCTTTTTTACCAAAGATATCAAAGCACATTTCAATGCACATTTCATATGTTCCAAAGCAATCAGAAATGCGGTTTTCAACAAGTAGTCCATATACAACAAAAATATTCATCAAAATTAGAGAATTAAAGATATTATCATGAAATAAACAAAACTGATAGGGGTCTATCTATTTTATTTTCACAGAATCATCCCTTCAGTGAAAATAAAGAACTTCTGTCAATAACATCAAGTACATCAAGTGTCAAAGCAATCTACAAACCTATATGCTCTTCCACACATTCCATAATTCCCAGCTCCATATGATCCACCAATAATTACAGTGATTTTCGGAACTCTGGCACATGAGACAGCTGTCACTAATTTAGCTCCATTTTTGGCAATACCTCCAGCCTCAGCATCTTTACCAACCATAAAACCTGAAAAACAACAAAGGTAACATACAACAAAGCATATGTCATGTAGAAAGTGTCTGAATGTTACATCTTAAACACAACAAAACAAGACAAGACAAGCAGCCTGTCGGCTGAGATAGCTTCGCTGTTAGCAATGCACATTTCAATTAAAAAACAGAAGATATCATTGGAAAATGAACAATATGTACAGTATCAAAGCAAGGGGACTTTTCATCAAGAATTCAAAAATATCACTTTTCACCAAAAATGACAAAAATAATCATCAACATTAGATAATTGAAGATATCACCATGAAATTAACAAATCTGAAAGAGGTCCACATGTAGAACCTATATATGTAATATAAAAGCAATTGGACTCTGGTCAGTCAAAATGACTATTATGAACTGTAGGCAGAGTCAGACGCCGATAGGTGGCAGGTTTTCCGAGCAAACAGAAAAATGATGAAAGTCTCTTCCCAGTCCGGGATGAAACACTCTATAACAATCACTCAACACCTTAGTTAAGACCCAAAAAGGGTGGTGTCTTACCTTGCCTGTGCTGTCCCCGGAGCAAGAAGCCAAATAAATGGCTGCTGCGGTGACAGGGTTCGGTGTGCCCAAGAAAGCTAGCCCCAAACCCAATTCCGGGGGTAGTATGCTTTCGAGGTGAAGGCCGAAACAGTTCTGCATGAGGGCATAGGTCGAAAGCGAAACTTGGGAGCTTCCAGGGAGTGCTGATGATATAGAAATCTGACTGCAAAAATGCTGAGACTGACTTATCTCCTATGTGCAGGGACCCTTGTGGTCGTTCGGGCTGGGTCAGCAAACCATGTCCGACCCGCTACGACGGGACCCAACCTGAAGAGACCCTCCTCAATGGATTGGGTGTCTCTTAGGTAGTAGTTGATAAAGACGTTTTGCGTTCTCCAGAAGCCTGCCCTCAGTGTGTACTCGAGGGGGGCGCCTGACGCTAGCACTAGCGAGTTGGCAATCGCACAGACCTCATGCGCTCGTACTTGGTGTCTCTGCAAGCTCTGTGTTGAGGAAGTTAAAGTATTATAGACCTCTAATACAGTCACAGTAATCCACCTGGTGATGGAAGTTCGGGAGGCCGGCCTATCCTGCCTGCCTGGGCCGTAACACAAAAACATGTGCCTGGCACGCCGTCCTGAATCCTTAGTACGGTTTTGGAAGCAACCCCATGCTCGAACCGGACAGAGAAGCAATTCCACCTGATCCACCGGGCCGACAATATTTGACAGCTGGGGGATGACGATCGGTTGAGGATCGTGTCCTGGGATTTGGTTCTTGGTGAGAAACCAGATTCGTGTCTTTAGCACATCTTGATCGTCCATAAAGGTGTAGAATCAAGGATGGTTAGACCAGGCAGAGGATTACACAGGATTGGTTTATTACACACAACTATAGGTGCAGCCATCACACCATGGCTCAGGTAGTGAATACAATACAACATAAAGGTCAAATACAGAGGTCAATGAGATGTGAACTCATTTGCATAATGCATACTCTACACCCTCCCTTTCAAGATATGTCGAAATTCATACAATTGTGAATTCAAAATCTTTTCAAGGTTCAGTCCATATTTGTTAAAGAGTTCATTGCTCAAGTTCATTGACTTCATGATAATAATAAGCACATATAAATATGAGAATCGATTTTGTTATTTATATATTGTTTTGCTTGTTTTTTATTTAACGAATAGATTATCATACATATACACATTTTTTTTTTATTCTATTTTATTTATTTTTTATGGAGTAGAGGTGGACTACTCTTCCTCCAAGCCAAAAAGCTGAGGTTTATTCTGCCTCCTAAGCTTTTTAAGCTTGATCTAAACTAGTTAAAAATTGTAATATCCTATACAACATAATCTCTGTACTTGGGATTTGGTCTGACAGTACGACCGTAATGTGTCTTACAGGTGATGTAGATATATCATTTTGAACATGTTCATTGTTATCTGTATGGATTGTGTTCTCAGTTGATGTAGTAATGGGTTTTTTATTTGGTATGCGGATTTCATCAGGTAATTCACTCTCATGAAATTCTTGTTTAGGTGAAGGTTCAGTGACTGGTAGAATGTGACGACGATTTCTTCTCAGTTCTTTGTTTCCTACTTCAACAATGTAGGATCCGGATTGTTGGAAATATGTTTGACTAATCCTAAGCGATTATAGCCATTTGGGGTTTGTAACCGTACTGTTTGGTTTGGCTTTAATAAGTGGTGTTAGTGCTTTAGCTGATTTGTCAAAATGCTTCTTCTTTTGTCCATGCTTCCTGCTCAGTTGTGATGAAATCTTTCTTGAATTCTTAATGTGTGTATTTAGTAGTGGTTTGCTGATCGGTACTGAAGTGCGCGTTCTTCTTGACATTAATCGTTGAGCTGGAGATCCTAATGTATTATCACTAGACACATTGCGAAG